TAGAGCAGAGTTTCCTCGCTGAATACATCTTGCGTAGGCTAAGCAACGATTATTGCTTTTCCTAGACTAATAGTAATTACAGCTTATCATCATCAATGAAATATAAGTAAAGTGTATCAATAGGTTGCGAACCAAGAACTTGGAAAGACTAATGAGGCTTAGCCAGCATTCAAAGAAGGAGAAATTGTATAGTTTAAAACTGCCGCGCGTCAATAATAATCACTTTGAGTCATGTGTACAAATTTATCAAAGTACTGAGAAGTCAATTGATGCATCATAATAGAAAAAACGAAATTAAGTTCATCTATATAGTACCGTGTTACATCGTACCGTAGTCAAGATCTTGAAAGATTCTGTTTGTGTATGTGTGATTGCCACAAAATTGGGGTCAGAGAACATATTTCAATGTGAGGCTACTATATATGTTTCAGAATAATTGTAGACATGTCAGGGAAAAAATTTAACATCAGTTTTGATCAGGTATGCATGCAACCACAAAATGGTAAATTATTGGCGCATTATGAAAAGCAAAAGTACTCATGAAAACAAAAATTCCATAATGTTGCATTCGAACACGTTTTTTTCCACTAAAAATACAAAAGAACCGATTAAAAACGTGTTCCATTTAAGATATCGAACTGCTTTAAAAATACATTCTTTTTCCAAGAAAGTTCTTTTCGTATTCGTTTATTTAAATTAATTCTTTTTATCATAATTACACTATTCTATTGCACGTACAATTTTGAAACAATCGACATCCACTTTCTTCGTCTATTAAAGCCCATAAAGAAAACTTCATTTTGTTCTTTTTCATTTTTTTTTACTACCATTGTTTTCAAATGTTCTATTTCTCTCGAATGAAAACAAAATCAATTCGTAAAATCCAAGAAAGGTATGCCTTTTCTTTATTTGAAAAATTAACGCCATAAAAGAAACGTAAAAAACTCAAAATTATTCTTCAACTCGAACAGTATTAAAGATTGTCAACGTGACTACCTTAAAAGTATGTGTTTATTTGTTCGAAGATCCACATCCACAATTATAGATTAAAATAAAACAATGATTTTAAATTTATAGACTCAACTTAAACAGAAATATGACTGAAATGGAACAACAAATGTTTTCGAAATTGTCAATACTCATCAATTCATATATTTGTGCCACTAAATAATTATTTTGCCTTTGTTTTTAGAAATTCAAAAGACGATAATCAAGATTGTTCATGTAAATAGGTTCTACTTCAAAGTATTTTCATTGAAGTTTCTATTGCATTCTTTATTTTCTTAGAAACTCGAATGATGGAACCGACAAAAATCAATCAATCTAATGCAACACTTGCGTCGACAATGCATCCATCGAGGAAAAGTTTTACTAAGGCATTGCAAGGTGATCATAGTACCAGCGACTCGCATCCTTGTATCATTTCTATTATGTGCGTACATGAAATTTTTATCGACATGTACTCTATAACTATGAATTTTTCTCTTGAATAGGCTCTGCTACGAGTTTTGTTGCTATTGCTGCAGACGTTAATCTGGAAGAACATGCCATTAACGAACTTATATATGCAAAAATCTTACTGATATTTCCTGTATGACAGTAATACCAATGGATTCAAATGATATTGCGCATAAAGAATCTTGAAATACACATTGGATATTGCTACTTCTTACAATAAAACTCTCTTAATTATAATTTAGGATGTGAAAATGAGTGAGTGTCAATGAAAAGAAGACCCACATGTATAAATGACAGCAATACCATCCACTTCGCTAGCGGCTGGGCAGTGAAGATTTTAACGGCCTTCAGAAAGCTTCAGACAAAAAAAGAAGCAGGGAATAGTAACTCTCCTTGCTGAATCGCTGATCTGAAGCTATGTGTATTTTTTCATAAGGATGCTGTAAGACTTCCATTGATTCAAAATACTATAATATCGTGTTCCTTGTCCAGCTAATATTCATATGGAGTTTGCATTGCTAAAAAATTACTGTATAGCATACCGATTTCAGAAAGTATAAATTCACATTCAATATATGAACTTCTTCTATTATATACTTTAAGTCAGAAATGGAAACACTAGCGATGATTGTTCTAGAATGAAGCAACTCTTGAGTTTGACTCCAAGTCATAGATTCTGCTTAATTTTCGAAAAAGAAACTTTCTCTGTTGCAACTAAACCATGTGCGAAACTGATGGCTGGGTTGAGACCCTCTATAGATGAATCATTTTGCGATTAAAGTTGATGAGTACTACAAAGTGGCCCTTTTTGTCTGAAATTAAAGGAAGTGTAGTTGTGAGAAGATGTTGGTCTTTTCTCTACTTATACCCACACTAATGGTATATCTAGATGGGAACAAGGGTGAGTGCAGCCCTTCTCCCTTAGAAAAAATTAAATGCTATAGAAAAATCGGTTGAGCCTCCATAGAACTTTTTTCTGGCTACGCCACTAATCCATATATTGACAAAATTCAACTAAACGTAATAAAAACATAGGTCTTTCTCGATTGAGATCTAAAATAGATTAAGAGAAAAATGCCACACCTCTTCAGAACCTTTCTTTATTGGTCATTATTCTTCATTATAATCTAAATTACAAAAACTATATATGACAAATAGTACCAATTGAATAAGAACAAATATATTTCGTTTTGAAATAAATCAGAGAAGAAAAAAAAAGGAAGAATGCCAACCATCTCTTCTAATAAATTAGATAGCCAATCATAGTCAATTTTTCTAAGAAAAACTAAATCTAATTTGACATGAAAAAAATCTGGGTGAAAAATATTTAGTCTATAGATGCTTAAAAATTCAACTTTTCAAACACTTTTCTGCATAAATTGACGAAATCGAACAGAAAAATGAATAGAAAAAAGTTTTTGAAGAACAAATCAATTCATTCGATTTTATACCACAATTGTAATACAATTTTGACTAGAAAATAAATGTAGTTTTTTTTTTTTATTATGGTGTAACCTTGATGAGAACAATATTTGTTCTTTATTGTCTATTCTCATTCAATATCGAGTTGACTGCATATAAAACTGACAAACATTACATAAATCTTTTATTATTTTCTCTGTGTTTAGAATCGATAAAAATTCAAAAACTATCGTTTTTATTTTGATCAAGCTTCAAATGTTCAAAGTTGTATAACAAAGTTCGATCTATTTTCGAGTGTTTCAAACTAATATATTCATTTGAAATCTTACTACATAGTCTTTCAAGTGTATAGCAATAAAGAAAAATCTGAATTCTATTTCAAGGTTCAAAATATTTTAATTGATAAAGTTCTTTTTAAAGTTCATGTGTTATTTTAAAACTTGTAGATCATTTTAGAAAAAAACAGCTTTCGGAACTATTGTATTAAATTTTTTTAAGTCACTTCGAATCATTATCATAGAGATGATCATGCATTGGCATTTTGAAATATAAATCGTTCTTTTTTACATTCAGTCTCATGTTAATCAAAATATTTCATATATAAAAACAACAACGAGAGTCATTCATAGATAAGACTTCTTATTTTTTGAAACGCTAAAAAACAACGAAAAAAAAGCTACAGCAATGTTAATATTCATTGTGAAAGTTTTTCTTATTATTATTATTATTTAAGCAGTCGATTGAAGCAACTTCAAATCAATGTGAGATTCTGTCGAGCGATCTACAGAAACTGAATGCGACTATTTAATTACGTTGATGTTTTTAGTTCTTGCTCTAGTCGATGCTATATTTTTGTACTAAGGGAGTGATCGATGGGAAAAGATCGTATACATCAGTTTGTCATTACTTGCAAGTCTTCTTGATAATCATTAAGCCTGAGATTGAAAGAAAACAGAGTAAAGAATGGAATCATCATAATGTCATCGTTCCATCTTATTTATCAAGAAAAAAAAAGAAACTGTGTGTAAAAGTTGCAATAAGCTCTATTATCTTTTTATATAAATAACTAGTTATTTTTGTATTAATTTATGATAATCGCCATTATTCTTATAGTTTTAATCTCTAATCAATAAAAATTTAACTTTAATATTTTTATCAATTTTCTCTAATAATTAAATACAATTTATGAAAGATTAATCATTAATATAGAAGTTATAAATTATATTTTCAAGTATTATTCATTGATATAACAAATGTGAATAATTCCTTCGATAGTTTCATATTTAGCCATTTACATCGTGAAAATTTGAAGAGTAAACTTGTAACTGTGTGTATCATATAGGATGAAGAAACAGACATTTCGCTTAAGGTACATCAGTTATACAAAAACTGTCATATGATAATCTTGTGTATTCAAACAAAACAAATAGTCAACAGTTAACTACGATAAAATTATATTTACGAATTACTACATAAAATATTTTTCTATAAATCTCGTTATACATTTCTTCATCTAATCAAATGAATTCCGCTGAGAACAGATATTGTACTAAGAATAAAAGAAAAAACTACCATTTGAGATCGCCGATCAACTGTTCATGAAGACTGACTTTTGAAAACTATGATCCTCGTTCGGTGGTACACTTTCAAATGTATGGAATGCTATTAATAAATAAATCCGATAGTTTATAACTAAATGTAATAAATTTTGAAAAAGAAAAATTAATTTTAATATCCGCTTACTAAACATATAGATTATATATCATTTATAACAGAAGTTGAATATATTAAATATCAGATTATCATGGTTTTTGTTTTTTTAAAATGCTACCAATTGCATTCATAAAAAAAAAAAAAAGAAATTTTTATGACAAAACGTATTTTAAAACAATTTATTCTCAAATAAAATCTAAGCTATAAACATTCAAATTACTTACTTGAAACAAGATTATCCTCTATAAGACAAAATCACTTGAGAAACTTTAATTTCTTTTATGATGACCTTCAAAAGTCATAATGATAAGACAAGACTATTTTATATTACTTTTTCTTCTACTATATAAAAGTCGATAATTCGTCAAAACTAAATACATTCATTCCATCAGAGAGAAAATATCGAAATGAAATTAACAACAATTCTTGCCGTACTCTTCTCTTGTTTGGTTTTATTTGCTTCAATTGGTTATACCAATAGCAACGTTATTAAAAACAAACCTGCAAAAGCTCGTCATGATCCTTTTGTCAAATCACGAAACAATTTTGTACCTCGTCATCATAATTTAAATAAACATGGTCGCCGTCAATCTGCAGTAGAAGCAATTATGGAATCAATTAAACAACGACGAAATCATCTTTAGATTATATTTTCAAGGACTATTTGAAATTTTTTTTTTTTGGTTTTTTTTTTTCTAACAATCATTATCATAAGCTAAATAATAAATTAATTGATTAAATACATAAAATGAAAGTCTATTTCAAGAACTTATACTAGTTTACAAATAATAGAAAAAGACGAGATTAAATAGAAAGACAAAAATGAATTTTAAAACTATTGACGAAAAAAAAAAAGAGAAAAAACTATGAAGAATAAAGAAAAGAAAAGAAAAAAAAACTAACTTTATTATTTTATACAATAGATCAAATAAAGAAACAATAAATAAATAAGATTGAAAGAAGAATGCATTTATTTTACGATGATTTTTGTTTTTCAGAGCAAACAGTTTGTCTCTACATTAGTATAACGGCAAAGTAATATACATAGAATATTTAAAAAGTTTTCGAAATTGATATTAATCAAATATAAGAAGATATAGTATTGAATACATCTTAATATCTGTGTGCATAGTTCATACAATCTTCCTTTCATAGATATTTGATTTTTGTTTAGGTCAATGGCTACTTCATATCTACTAATGTATAATGACAAGTTATTGTAATAACATTTTCTCATGTACTATGAATTTCAAATGAGTTTGTCTATTTAACAAAGGAAGAAAAATAGACTATTGATTATGTTTTTTAAATATCATATCAAATACTATACAATGTACATATCATAAATATTGAATGAAACATAATCTTTCACAAAACAAGAAATTTTCTTTTTGAATACAGTAAAACTTATGATATCTATAGATAGAAGATTAGATGAACCTATGCACAAATATTAATACTAATATATTAGCAATTCATATTATTTTTTAATAAAATCAATTCGAAAATTTTTTGAATATCCTACGTATATACTTCCATTCTCGCGGTCAATTGGATGATGAATATTTGTTAATTGTTCTTTGAACATGGCTAAAACGAAAAGAAAACGATTTTGATAGGATTCGGAAAGAAGAATGTCAGAATATCCGCTTTCAGTTAACAGACTATCGGATGAGCGATCTGATACAAAAATTCAACTGGTATAGAGACATTCTATGACTGATGGTACTGAGGTTTGAAGGCAATACCTATTCGATACATGGTCAACATCGTCGTTACTCAGCCATGATAGTCTAGTAGAAATCAAATCTATATTTAGAACACATGAGTGGCAACAATATGACATCCGACGCAAGTTTTACACGACCATATAAGATATTGTTTTCAGTGAAAAGAAGTGTTAATCCTGATCTCGAAATCAAAGCTACCGGCACTTTTTAAAGGTGACAAAAGATAAAAATTCGTACAGAAATTGCTTTCATTCTCGGAATATGAAAAGTAGTGAACATAAAGAGGGAGAAGCAACGAAATTCGTCTTATTTTTATTGCATTCTTGATCACAGAAAGGCAAATCGTATTTTAAAATGCGGTTTCTACTCAAAATTACTAGAGAATCGGAAATATCAAGGATAACGAAAGTTTTTCATTCCATTTCTGTTAATTACTTGTATTTGTTGAAGATCTCCTGAAGATAATTCATCTGATGTATTTGACCAAGTTGATGATGATGAACTTTGACTAATTTGACTTTCTGATCTATGTTGATTATTATTATTTTTATTTCGTTGAGCAGGCCAATTGGACTCATGTAGTTCAGGTATATATTTAACTTTTACTGGAGTTATTGCTGATGTTCGATCTTTCATATAAACACGTTCAAATGCATCAAGAATTTTTTCAACTGTACGCATATGTGGATATGCTTCATTATTATTCTTATTATTTAATATTTCATTATTATTTGATGGATTATAAGTTATATTTGTCATATTACGTTGTTGTGAATCATTTAACTGATGAATAGTACCATTAACAGGTAAAAATTGAACTTGACCACGAATTTGTTGTTGTTCTTGTTTTGGTAAAATACCATTTTGTTGTTTAGGTGGTGGAGGTGGTGGATATTGTTGACGAGCATTAACATGTGCTGCAGCTGCATGTGCTAATCGTGCAGCTGTTTCTTCACGTGAATTTTTAATTATTGATGAAATTTTACCTTCATTTTCTAATATTGGATTATCATTTGAATTTGTACTAGAACAAAATAAAATGATAAACTTTTGAATAGTTCGTGTTTTTCTTTTCTTTTTTTACCGTTCATTAGAATCAATTTCTTTTTTATTTGGACTTTGATTACGTACAGGATTATTGATTAATGTTATATTTTGTTCAAATATTTCATTTGGTTGTTGAATAAAATTTTGTTCTTGTTGTAAATTTTGATCATTTTCAATTTGATTTCGTTTTTTTTTTGATAATGATGATGGTTCATGACCATTTTGATTATGTATATTATTTAATTCAACAATAACAGGTGTTTCTCTTGGTGATGGAATAATATCACGTTTTGATCGTCGTTGTTTATGATTATTATCATTTTGTTTATTTGATGTTTCATTATATTGTAATGTTGCTTTATATAATTTTTTTTGTAATCTATGTAATTCATGTTCTAATGTATGTATATGATTACGTAAACTATCAATTTTTTGTTCATCGGATATATTCATACCATTCATATTTGTCCATGCTTGACGTGAATTATAAGGAACTGTTTGACCATAAAAATTCGATCGAACATTATATGATTGATAAGGATTTAATAATGGTTGAATATCAATATGAGATTGTGGAAAATATCCAACTAATGGATATGGATTTTTTTTATCATCTTCATGTGGTAATAATTTTTGTTTAGCTTCAGGTGGTAAACGTGTTGAACGTTTAGCTTGTTTTTGATAAAGATCACCACGTAGAATAGATTCTTCATAAACTTGATTATAACTATTATAAAGTGGTTGTTGATGAACCTAAATAAAGATTTACAAAAAGAAAAACTTTTTTTTCTTTTTTGATTTTAAAATTAATATTTACTTTTAAATGTGGTGGTAATTCGCCTAAGAAATTTGTTTGTTGTTGAATATGAGTATTATCACCATTATTATGTTCTAAATGATCATGTTGATGTTTTTTTTTTGAACGTGATTTACGATTTTTTTTTTCTTCAGAATTATTATTTTGTTGTTCATCCATATCATTTGTATTATCTTGAGATTTACTATCATGAGTTGTATTTTCCATTGATTGATATTGTTCTTCTTGATTAGGAGTTATTTCATCTTGTTTTGACTGATTTTCTAATATAGGTGATTGATTTTGACTAGGTTCTTTTGGATGTTTTTTATGAGATTTTTCTTGATCTGGAGGTAAACATTGATCAATTACACCATTGGAAGTAATATTTCGATTTTTATGATGATGTTTATCTTACATATAACAATAAATTAAATTTTATTGAAAAAAATTCGTTAGTGTAACTCATTTAGGATTAAAATTCGGAACTCATATGGTTTCTTTTAATCAAATTTAGTATTGGTTAAATAAATTCACAAAAATAGAACCTTCTAAGCCTTATTATCAATGTCGTTTAATATCTTTAATCTGTATAACTAAGGTCTAGAGTGAAGGAGAGAGGAAAAAGGTCACCCAAATCTCGATTTGAACTTTCACTCACGTACATCTCTTTTGAACATATACGTAGGTTTCACAACGGGGAGATACAGCCATTTGGCTAAAAATGAAGATTCTATTTTTTCAAGATTTAAATATAAAGAAATATACTTCCAAGTATAATCTATTCAATAGTATAAATAACTTTGTTATAATGCCATCAAAGAAATTGAAAACTTATTTAACTTTTGAAGAGTATCATTCGATCGGCTAATACCGTAAAATGAGTAATTTACCTATATCCTCTCTTAAAACTATTGCAAAGCACATAGGTTTTTCTGTCTTTCAAAGAAAAAGAATATATAGTCAACAACAATAGTATATACAAAATCAATGCATTAAACTGTATCGAATGATATACAACACAGAATAGTTTCGAAGTAAAAAAAAAATAGTTTTCTGTATCATATCCAATGATTTTTGAACAAAGCAATCCGTTTCTAAGCTGAGAGGTCAAATACGCGTCTGCCATACATAAAAAATGCATACTATAGAGAGAAGGGAAGATATCGAAATAGCATCATGTTTTTCTAGAGTTTCGTTCTGCTAGATGCGCATCTCAAACAAATCGTTTTTCGATAATCTATATATTCTTTTCGAATACTAAGATGATTCAAAGGCGCTAATCTTCTTTTGAATTCTATCATGAATAGAGGATTAAATAAATTGTAAATAAGCAATTTTTATTTAAGATAAGAAATTAGAAAAATAAAAGACTTACTTGATGGTGGTGGTGGTGCATAATTATTACGATATTCATGCTGATGAACTGGAACTGCAACAGGATATTGTTCATATTGTCGAGATGGTTTTGAAACATAAACACCATTAGATGGTGGATTTAATCTAGTCGATGGTGGAAACTGTCTATTTGATGGTTGATTTTGTCTAATCGATGCTGGTAATGATTGTCCACGTGGTAATGATTGTCCACGTGACATTGGAGTTTGTTGATAAGGTAATGGCATTTGTCGATTATATCCATTATATTGTGATGGATAGATGGATGTTGGTGGCGGTTGTTGTTGTTGTCCAGGATATTGAAAACCCATTGGAATTTGATTAAATGCACCCGTTCCAAACATGATATAAATTAAGAAAAAAAGAACAAAAGTTTAAATCTAAAATAAGAATATATGTATATTTGAAATATAAATATCGAAAAAATTAATCGTTTTTCTACGGTTATTCAGATTATATGAGACAAGAAAAATAAAAAAAAAAAGATTCTTCGATACTTTTCATTTTTCTTTTGTGTGTATGTTGAACAGTCATTAATATATAATGAATAATTAGAAAGACATATATCAACTATTCATTAAAATAACCTTGAATAATTCTAATGAAATCTTGATATAAAAATGTGTTCATAAATAGTATCAAGATCTTCACTTACCTATTAATGTGTTCAATT